CGTCTGTCCACAACTGCCAGCGTTGTTGCTTTCGTTGACTATAAATTCATCTTTTGTATGCTTTCTAAAGGTCCATGACCTTAAACGACGCTGTTCTCTTATTGAACGGAGTAGCCGAAGTTCGTCACGTGAAGCTCTGATTTCTGCAGTCAAGCCGTTCTGTTCCATTTTTTGGATAAAAAACTGCCTCCCTGTACGACCCTGAGAAATGACTTTACTGAAGCAATTGAGCTGTTCCTTCTTCCGGGGCTGTTGCATAGGTCACAACTTATGTGCACATTATGAGGACAGATTAGAGAAGCACCTCATTCCATTGAATGGCATCACCTGCTATGGCTGTTTCGAAATGACGACTGAAAATTCTTTTTTAGTAAACTCTAAAAATTCTTTATTAGGCAATTATCTAATAACTGTTGAAATTACTACAGATGGTCAGATAATCTCGTGAGATGCATGAGTTTATATGTCCATATTTGCATTTTAGCTCACAGGTCTTTCTGGGTACAGTGGCGATGCATGAATGCTTTGTTTTGCATCAGAGTAGTAACGATTTCGTTGCATTCTTCCTCACACTGGGGCGAGCGTTAATGCTTACCGTTTGCTTTTCCGTAGATGTTTAGGTTAGTACATCTGATGGATGGCGTCTCGTTGATGTAGTCATCATTCTGTCGTAGTGGTGGAGTATGAACTACGTCTAAAGACAATCTGGCAAAACAAAAGATTGTCAAACTATTTATTATAGACGCTTTTCCTATTCATGGTTTAGGGCACCAAACAACACAGTTGTGAACACTTTCTTACCACCTCGTTTACCACGCATGCCTTAGCTTCCTCAGAGTGCCATCAGGAAGCTGATGACGGGTGAGGCAGCTTCTTTATAACTTTTGAAATAGCCGCATCATTTGTCCTGAATGTTTCGCTATACTTCACATAATAAGGCAAGAATTACAGGTGAGACAGATTGTAAAGAATGTTATTTCGGTTGAAGAACTCGACATGACGTTGTATTTCACCCCGGAAAAAAAGGCGAACAAGTATCATCTTTCCCTTGGACAAATGCTGCTATGGTCACTACTGAATTAATTGCCTGTGTTAAAAATGAAACAGGTTTCGTTACCGTTTGTAGTATAAAATCGGAATCTAACAGCTTCTTTCATATCTCTAATTTAATAGTTGAACATTGTGATGGACTGCTTGGATATATTCCTTTAGACATGCCCAAAGGCATTTTGCAGAAACGGAGCGAAGGTTTTAGCCTTCATCCATTTGAGAACAACTGAGCGACTGCGTTAGGAGCGCTTGGACACAGCAACAGTCTTGGTCTTCTACCTCAATAACTCTTTTGCTGCTCGTTACTACCATCAGCCTGTTATTTGCTAAAGTAGAAAATGAGGCCCATGTCGAGGAATTCATCTGCGAACATCATCTTGGATTCGTCTTTCCGATGAAGGTGTAAGAACAGGGTAAAAGGAAGGTTTGTAACGTAACCTGTTTTACGCTTTAAGGAGGGGTACCTTGGACAACCATCTTTCGTGTAGCCTATGCTACTGCGCTGATTTTTGTTTCTGTACCTTCAACCAGGAGGCAGTTTCTGTCGGTTTGTCAATGTTTAGGTTATGTTTCTTCTATCACAAGACTGAAAACGTTCACATGTCTCGAAAGAGTGAAAAGTCAGTGACCCCATTGGGGCATAAATCCATAACTATACGATTCTGAGTCTCATGTTCTACCCACTGTGGTTGTCTGGATGTCATCACCTGATGCTGACAGAACTTGAAAAGTAGAGTAATCCAGATTTATGACGTCTGACTGAGCAAATCCGAATTACCCAAAATTTGCTATTAAAGTTTCACGGAGTGAAAATTTGCAGCTAGCTTGAGTACAGGTCTCCAACGAAAACATTTTTGCTCAGTAACTGAATCCACAGGCAGTTCAGTTTATTCATGCCACCTATATTCTATCTGTATGTCTGGCATATAGTAAGCTAGTTTAAAGTTAAATTTACGATGTTTACGATGATACTTTTTTCAGCTTCATAATGACCGTGAAACTCGACCCAAATTTGAAAATCTGTTTATATGACCATCTGTTGTGGTTTTGGACTGATATCTAGAAATTTTACTAACGTTTGATGCCAATTGGGACTACTTTTATATTTGTCTACAGATCTAGAGAATCGTTCGGTTTGTCATATGATATAATAATAAAAAATACATTCATATAACCTCGTGTTGAAAGGATATTCGTCACTTTTGAAAACAAAGTGCTCATATACGTTGCTTGATTCCAATAAGAGAAACTGTAACCGGTTGTCCATCCAATTAACTTGTCGCTAGTTTGTGCACAACAGACTCGGTTGGACGCAGTATCGCTTTACATCCTAGGGCGGGGCATATTTATTGTTGAGATCTCCCTGCGGAATATCATCATGATCTCTGATCAGCACATGAAACAATGCTAATATAGAACAGAGGTTTCAACAGGTTGTACGACAGAATGATACTCTCACTGCAACCCTTGAGCAAGAACTTTGGAGGTATTTATTCCAGAAGAAAACAGATCATTTTCTTCAGACTTCGAACCTCTCCGAACAGAGGCTGACCTTCGGCTGGAACTGTGGTAGACCAGACGTTGCTCTTTCGTCGTGAAGATTGTGAAGATTCATCGATGACATCCCATGAAACCAACGATTTCGAAAATAAGGTATTCGCGCAGCTTGCACCGGTGCAGTCATCCGTGAATCGGGTAGCAATTCGTCTACGTATGAAAAATTGGAACACTGCAATTTCACGATTTGATCGAGCCGTGCCATCGCTGGCGCGGTTCGCCGCCACGTGGTTCAGTGCACCCGCCATAATAGGTCAGAGTGAGTTTTGACTCATCTAATTGTTAACTACATGATACAGGCTTGAAGCATAAGCTTAGGTGTCCTTATTTTCTAAAAAATTGTAATATGCTGATTTCTGAAACGGCTTTCAGTTCTGTCTTCTTCTCTGTTGATTGACACCTCAGTGGTTCTAGACTCGAGGAAGCAAAGTAGTGGCCTTTACTTTTTGTAGTTTACTCTTCTTACTAGTGGCCTTTTTACTTCTACTGCTGACGTTACAGCCAAACTATTGTTGGCCAAACTAATTCATCCAATGAAGTCTGACTGAAACGTCGGCAATTAGAGTAAAGACTGTCATCTCTGTTTCCTTGTGACTAGAACCTATGAAGTGTCGAGTTATGATATCATATTATGTAGAAAATTATACATGATTTCTTTATGCGGGAGGTGATATAATCTTTAGGTAAGTCACAAACGGGATGAAAACGCACAAAATGTTCTTCAATTAGGGACATCCGACGTTTCGGACCAAGCTCAATCCGTCTGACTGTTTTCTGGAGACGGACCG